CTAATTTGAAAGCTAGGATTTTTAGGAGTGAGCAAGAGACTATATTTGGCCAAAAAATTCTGCTGGCTTTCCTTAGCCAATCTGCACATTCAAAACAATACTTCTTTATCAAAAAAACAATAGTCTGTTTTATTCACAGCACATGTAGAAGTTGGAACATCGACTAAATTCCACTTTCTTCTCTCTCAGTGTGTCTGTAACCAGCTAATGAGCTGCAACAGAGCCTGCCCTTCATTTTCAGCAAATTAAGTTCATCTCTCATAGGAATTGTGGTCTGGCTGTGGCACCGCTCCTAGGTATGGGTGGGATTTGTTTCTTCTACCAGTTGTAGGTTAGCCACATGGGTACGTGCTGTCGCACCACACAACAACATTTTCTGTATAATAACCAGTCTAAGTAGCCTTTTACCCCACAAAAGTAGATCCCATTTAATTTACTTTGTGTTTATAGCACTCCCTCTCAAACCGCACCATTGGCACAGACTAATATTTATACAACTTTTTATTTTAAACTATTTATTTGGAGTTGAGACTTCAGTAGCACTCCCTGTCAGATTCATTGAGCATGCTTAAATTCAGGATACTGAAAATGTAAATTGGGAAGAGTGATGTATGTTCTTGGGATTCTTTTCTCCCGTGCATGGACACCCGCACAACTCTTAACTGTAGTAAAGGGAGGTTACACATGTGTTGATAACGTTTGTATTACTGCTGGTAGGAAATTGAACATTGATGGGTGATTTTAAGAGATTGCTTTTGCCTATTGTGTTTCCACATTTCTTTGCCAATATAGTTGGTGAAATTAGTTATGCATCATGGATCTAAAAATCTCTCATCCAAAAGTGTCAATGTTGTAAAAGATTTCTTTTCATAAAGAAATGTTACTTTACTCCATTATTTTAATGGAAGTCGTTAGTTAAATACACTTTTGCCACAGAAAGAAAGGGAAAAACATTCTTAATTTTGTATCTGACCTCTGCTTTGGGGCCTTATTTTAGGTTACATTTTCCTTAAATAAGGCTTTTCTGTTTTTTGAAGTGAATGACGAGATGTTAACTTTAAATGGACATTTAACCACATAAAATATAGTGGCCAATGGTTCATTTTTCTACTCAGGGTAGACACTTTATTCAGTTAATGATATTTAAACCTGATTTTCTATGAGATCCGTCTGTTGTTCTTAAATCTGATACTATTTTGTGATTTAAAATGAGTGTTGGGTTAACTTTGTTTACAAGTAAGGTATTTATCAGAACTTTGATTCTCTTTTACTTTCTTCTTTTGGTGAACATCTATCCATTTCCAAGACCCACTTATATATTATCTCACCGAGGAAAATTTTTCCATCTTCCCAAAGGAGAACAGAACCCCATTGTATTGGAATAAGTTTTTTGAGATATGAACCAAAGCTGCTGTCTTCCTAATATTCTTATAACCTCTGCCCTGCCTCTGCATTCAGGAAACCAGAATACCTTAGAGAGGGACAGCAAAGGAAAACAAAAGACAATAAAGGAATCGATGTCTTTGTTTTGTAACTCAAAGTTAAAGTCCAAAATTAGAAAACAGATTTGAAGGCATAACGGGTCAATTTCTGTTGTGCCTTCCGAAGAAGAGAGTTGAGAAAGAAAGAAGAGGGCTTAGATGCTTTTGGGTATCTGCAAAAAGACCCAGACAATGCCTGGAATAGTAAAGAAGCAGAGAACTTTCAGGGAGAAAGGGAACAGTCTCTAAGATGGAGCAGGACCTGAGGAAGTCTTGCTTCTCCACTGAGGAAGATGGACCTAGACCAGTGCAGAAGGGATGGCAGCTTCCCCGTAGAGCAGTGAGGACAGATGATGTCATGAAGACTGGACTGCTCATTCTCACCTTCCCTTCATAGTCCCTGGCACTTTTTAAGCTCCTTGCAAATTAGAGACAATCCAGGAGAAAGAGGGATAGAAGGAGACCTTATTTCTGTTACAATGTGAATGGGAGCTTCAAATTGAAAATAAAATGTTATGGAAAAAGTGAAATTATATATATATTTTGCACATCTTAGCTTGGTGGCTTCAGGTTTCTGTACATCAAAGGAAGACATTGTGCCTTCCTCATTGTCGTACTCTGGTATTGGAGACTGTGCAACATATATAGTAGGTATGCAATAAACAGCTGTTAATAGAATGAATCAATACTTTGTAGAGTACTGCCAACTACTCCAGAGCTTTGATCTGGCTTCTCTGGAAAAAAAGAAAAAGAGTCCTGCTTTATTTGTGCCTGTTGTATGCCAGCTTGGCCTGTTTACTCCTGTGGTTTCCCGTATTCCAAAACAATGCAACGTTGCTTGAAATTACACTTGAGCATTTTCTAGAGCATTTCTTCTGTCCATCCTACTTGCAGTGACTCCACTTCAGTTCCTTGTATGCCAGCTGCTGCAATAGCTTGCTGTCACTAAACATGTACATGTGTCCACCCCAGAGGAATTAAGTGGGACCACATCAATGCTAGGGAACTGGCTGTCTTCCAGAGCTGCACTCTGGGTCATTCTGTCTTGTGCTTCGGTGAAGTCTTTTCCCCCATTGCCTTCCAGTGGGGAGAGGGGTAGGGCACAGTCTACAAAGCAGACACAGAATGCCCAGTGTGTGGGTGGAAAACTTCCCCTTTCCCTTGTGAGTAGAGGAGACCAATTCAGAGAATGTTCCACTTATTCATTCCCTTCTAGTGTAATTTTTCCTCAATAGTTTCTCTTTCTGTCACCTATAAACCAGAGGGGATAGCCACTGGCATACTGCATTGTGTAGAACGAGGGGGACTGTTCTGTTTCCTCCTTCAGCTCTTGTAAAGCACCTGCCATTTCCCTGATGCACCCTTTAGACTTCAGTGTTCACATCTTGGAAGTCAAACTGGTGTCATCCAAAAGATTCTCATACACATTCAAATGTTAATAAATGCCAATATCTTGTTCATGACCTGACACATAGGTCTGAAATATTTAAGAAAATAGAAACTACACTCCTTTTTACCTCCACTCTTCTCTCATATATCGGTTCATATACTTCTTGTTTCAAGTAGCAGAGAACCCAATTCCCACAGACTTAATGGGCTTGTAGGGGCCTTGTAACTGGAAGGTGGTGTGGTGTAGGTGGCTCTGTTGTGTCAAGAAAGCATGATTGTTTTTTGTCTCTTCACTCTGACTTCCAGAGCCTCCTTCACAGTCGCAAGATGACTTCCAGCAGCTGACACAAGGATTACCCTTTGCTTTTTGTTCGTATCCTATAGACACATGGTATGGTAACTACTAAGGGACCTTCCTTCTCAGAGCCCTATGGAAAAAAAAAATATATATATATATATAAAATTCAAAATATATATAATATATAATATATTAAATACAATATTTAATATATTATATATAATATATACATATTTATGTGTGTATATATACACACACATACACACACACATGTTTTTTTTGAGACAGAGTCTTGCTGTGTTGCCCAGGATGGAGTGCAGTGACACCATCTTGGCTTACTGCAACCTGTATCTCCGGAGTTCAAAGGATTCTCCTGCCTCCGCCTCCCTAGTAGCTGTGATTACACGTGCCACCATGCCTGGCATATTTTTGTATTTTTATTACAGACTCGGTTTCGTCATGTTGCTCAGGCTGGTCTCAAAGTCCTAGCCTCAAGCAATCCACCCGCCTCACTCCCCACAAAGTGCTGGGATTACAGATGTGAGCCATCATACCTGGCTTGGAAATATATGCTTAAGTCTTACCTGCCCAATTTTGAAACACATACACATGCAATGAGTCACTCTTCTCCTTCTTCAGCATTTATCACTTCTACTATCTCTTTGGGTAAAGTAGATAAAAGGGAATGAGGACACTATAACATATAAAATTGGGCCTGAATGAGATTGCAATGAAGAATATACCTCCAGTTTGCACTCCAGCCCAGGTGACAGTGTGAGACTCTGTCTCAAAAAAAAAAAAAAAAAAAAAAAAAAGAAAATACACCTCCAGTGACACAGGCTTCAGCTGCTTGCAATTAATCACTCTCAATTAATCAATCAATTGACGCCAATTGGGCTGTGAAAATAGTTGAGTGAAGCTGTGTTCAAGCTCTGACCTCACTCTTTACCAGATGTGTAATCCCGGTCAATTCATTTACCCTTTCAGAAACCTAGTTTTCTTGTTAAGATCAAATGAGATATTTGCAAAACCACACTAGTAACTTCTGCGTTCTCCAAAAGCCAAGCATTATTATTATTGCTTTTGCAAACGAAATCAGGAGATTGGTCTTCATTAGGAGTTACTTCCAGATCTACATTTATAGATTTTACAGTGTATCAGTCATTAATTTCCTTAAATATCATATTAAGAAAATTATTGTTAAGTATTTTTATTTATAGATGTTGTAGTATTACTAATACATGAACTTTAAAAAATAATTAGAATTCTCAGCACATCCTAAGAAAAACTTTTTATTCCATAACTAATTTCAAATTTTTGAAACACAGATGTTAAGTGTGAAGTTAATTGTTTTACAATTTTGAGTTAATGACCACGAAAAACAATACCTGCCTTTCCATTTGAACTGCCTTAAAACTCAGAGTTGAATTCAGACCTTAGCTGGAGAAAGGTCTATTTTAGATTCTTCTAATAGCTACCTCTTTGCTTTTTAAATTCATCTTTGTTCTCATTTACTTTCAACTGATTCATGCTATCTATGTATTTCAACATTTTGAGTAGCTTCATATTCTTTATGGAAATTACAAAAAGGAAAAAGAAAGATATGAAGGTAGAAAAAAAAGACAGGAGAAAGGAAAGAGTAGAGAGGGTCTTGGAGAAGGAATGACAAACTCTGAGCCGAGCAGTGGCTTGTAGACAAGAAGGAATCGATTCGAGACAGATGGTTGGTGAGAAGGTACTTACAGGTGCCAAAGAGAGAAGAAATAAGATTTGGACTGAAGGTCATGACAATGAGAAAGGAGATCAGGGGATAAGCTTAAGAACTTTTTCAGGTGAACAACAAAGAAGACTTGAAAACTCAGTGATCAGAGACTGGAAATGATGGTGACGGAAAGTGGAATATCAGTGATCCTGAACATTCAAACCTCACTGATCTCAGAAAAGGTATGAAGATGGGGTGGACCAGGACAGAGATGGTGCTAGCCAATTTATGGAAAACCCTTAACTTTACATGAATAGTCTTATTTAATTCCCCAGATAACCATTTGAGATAATTAGAATTCCTCTTTGCAGATGAGTAAATTTTAAAAGAGCAGGGATTTTGTTGTTGTTGTTGTTTGAACTGGTAATCCTGACTTACACAGACATGACAAACTCCAAAAGGAAACCCAAGCAGCTATTTGACTCACTTATGAAGTCACCCGGTATGGATGATTCAGGTAAAAAACAATTACTCCTCTTTCCTTATCAGATATCATGTTGTGATCTTGCATGTGTATAAGAATCTGTGTTTGGAGAAGGAATTATTTTTACTGCAGAAAGTTTCTTCTTTGTGTTGGTTATGTAACATTAACTTCACTCATATAGCAACTTGGATGTGCCTGGAAAATAGCTCCATTATTTTGTCTATAACTATTCTGGTTCTCTTATAAATATAGAGTCCTATGCATTTTAAAATTCAGTCCAATCCAATAATTAAAACCATCCCTTTAGGTAATGCTGTCTCTTTTGGAAAACGTGCCTAGTCTCCCAGATTTTTCAGCCTTCTGTCCACTTCCAGGCACCCCTTCAAGTGTCTCGGTGCTTTCACAGTCTGGGAGTGGTAGGGAAGAGCTGGTATTCTTCGGTGCAGAGACCTATTGATCCTCTGGTTTTCAGGGTGCTGTCCTTGTCTGTTGCCTTGCTGGCACTCATAGCTGATCTAGGCACCATTTGTGTTAACTTGGTCAACTCCCCCTCCCCTTGGTTTTGGTTGGTGCTACAGAACGCTGTCTCTGCTTTATTCTCAAATGGCTCCTTGGTGGAAAGCTCAAACTGAGCCTCTGCCATGGAAGCACCTTGCCTGCCAGCTCTCAACTCAGCTGCCTTGTCAGTTCCCTTGGGGCTTAGATGTGGGGTTTTGTAGAAATTCCTAGTCTCTATCCAGGCCACACTGAAACTCAGAGGAGTCTAGAAAGCCATTCCTCAAGGTTAATAGATGAGTTCTCAGTAAGGATAGCTGCAGAAGGTTGCATTCTAGAGTCAGGTATGGAATTTGGGATTGCTTTTCCCTTGAGTTTCCCAGCACACAACTACTAAGAAAAAAGAAAACCAGAAAGGTAAATTGAAATGCAGTCTCAGATTGCTTTCCACCTTCTACCATTCTCAGTCTCCAGAAACAGAAGGGATGGGCTTAGCTCTCCTTTAACTTTATACTGAGCCCTCGTACATAGAGCAGCAAGCCTCGTGACCTAGAGAGTTCATAGGTGGACGGCATCCTCTCTTTATAATGAGAGTTCTGATTGAGTCCTCTAGGCTTAGTTTTGAAATGTTAAGTAGGTACTAAAAGAATTTAGCAAATCCATTCACTCTCCCCAAAGCCTTGCTTTCAAGCTAAATTCTTATTCTTTCCTGACCTAAAGGAGTAAGTTTTCTGGCTTGGCCTTGAAGATGAGACCAAAAAGAAATGTGATTTAGGGAATGTCATGAAATATATTGTTATTATTTGCAAAATACTGTTTCTGGTACAGTTACATATACACAGTTAAAAGTCCAGAAATCTATGTAGCTGAATGTGCAGTTTGCACTTTCTAGCTTCTGGTAAAATTAACATGAGAATCACTTTCTAATCAATTTTGTCTAGCAAGTAGAAGCGGTGGAGAGCTGGTTTTATTGTAAGCAAAAGGTTGATAAGAATTTAGTAGATTATATTTAGTATACAGCCTATAAAAAAGAGAAATAATTACAGCCATAGTGACAAAAAACAGGCAAACACTTCTTTTATCAACAAATAACGAATTAACAAAAAAGGTGACTTTTACAGTGTAATGTTCCTGAGGAGTTTTTAAACTGACAGTTTTAGAGATTGTTTTGTAAGTGTTTTGTCAGAAGAAAAAGCTTCAATAATTTTTATTTTTTGAGTGCTACAGTGTAGTTTTGTTTTATGTGATAGCAAAATAAATTCACTTCTGTTTTACTTTATTTTTTCTCATTATATTTCACCATCTGTAGTGGGCCTGGTCAGATAGAGGTGAAAATTAAGTTACAGTAACATAAAAAGTATACCTAGAAAATCATGTGAATTCTTTAACGAAGGTTCTTCATTTACTTTACTTGAAGAAATATTTCCTTCGTGGTGCAGACTGAAAATCAGAAGTATTGAATTAAATATTTGTAAAAGAATAGTGAATTACCCACTGTTGCATTGCATTATATATCTTAGTCTTGGTATTCTGTTCTAATTACAAGGTAACATTTCTCCCAAATTCCAAGTTTACATTAAAAATAAAACACATATAATGGCCACAACTCCTAAAATATTCTCCGAAATTATGGGCACATTTATTCATGTTAACATGAGGTTTGCATTTTAATGTAGAGGATGGCGCTGTGGATTGCTTTTGCGAATAATTTCATTTAAGGACAGTTTGACTTTGTAAGAACAGATAAAACCAAAGCCAGTTATAACATGAACTCTTCTCTCCTGTATGCATGGAACAGCATAAACAGAGAAGCTTGTTCTTTACTGCACTTGTCAAATCTTGCTGTTTAAAAGTCTTAAAATTCAAATATATATTTATATCAATAAAAATTATACATAATGGATGGAATGCTTACAGCTATACTCTTTATTTTCCCCTTCAATCATTATGAGTATTTATCACTCATACAAAAGTATATATCTGTAACTTCTTTAGTTTCGTTTCTTGAGAGATGCCAGTTCCTCTCTTCTTTCGTATGAACCTAGAAGTGCAGATGTAATATAATATTCTCATCCATGTAATATTATTACAGGATTTTTTCTGTTGTTTCTGGTGGCTTAATGGCAAAAATGAAAATTTTAAGATGATTTTAAAATTTCTTCTTCAAGTAGTAATTTCGGCAACACTTCTGAAGTGTAATTTGACTTGGGGAATTTGGTATATATTTGAATAGTGGGCAGAGGTTTATTAAAATTATATTTACATATGATATGATACTTAGAAATATTTTAATTTCAGGGCTATACTTTTCATGATTTCTGGAAATTTTCATTTTTGGAAAAGAGAATTTTGCTGACTTAGGCACACCATAGTAATTATTGCTTTTAATGTAAAATATGGCTTAAACCTGATCTTTCTAGTAACTATACCAGGACACCAATGATGTTCTTTAACTCTCCTTTGCCCTCTGGAGATAATATACAATTTAGTATCTAAAACTATAATTATGCATCATTGTCAATATTTTTTTCTTAAATATATGAAGAAGAATGTGTTTTTCAGATAGTTATGCTTTACTTTGTAAAGTTTCTTCTTAAAAGCAACACAAAAATGAAAATGTGACAATGGAAAAGAACTCCTTCTTTAAAACTATTATTCTCTGGTGGGATGGGGGGCTAAGAGGGAATTAGTTAACATGATTTTTAATTTGTCTCAAGGCTTGTGGAAAGAAACTGGCTTTCTAGAATGTACATGGTTGAGTATCGTACAGAAATAAATATCTCCCCCTTGGAATTTAAATTGTATCTAGTAGTACTATTTTTATACCTCTTACTAGGAAACGAAATACCTCTAAATTTAGTGCTTTGGAATTTTATTTCCACTAAAAATTTCTTCAGATATGTGAGCACCATAGTAACAGCTTTGCGAGCTGGTTCTTCATTACAGTTCCCCGATAAGAGCTTCACTCAAGACAGTTCCTTTGGGATGACTGAGACTAAAAATCAATTCTGATAACATTAGAACAAATTTAAAGACAAAAAAAAAAAAAGAAAGAAAATCAGAGAAAGCATGCTTGCTGTGGATAAATAGAGCTGCCCTTAAAAATTATTTTTTTCAGTCAAAAATCTAAAATGTCTTTTCTCAAAACTTTTTTATTTCTTGTATTATTTTTATACCTAGGTAGGATTTTTCTCACCTTTGGAAAAAATAAATCTCTTACCAGAGATATGAAAAATTCAGCTGAATTTATTTATGGCCTTGCTAAAGGTCTTTTCATGCTCTACAATGACAATATTTTTACAAAACCAACAGGTAAGTAATATGGGTGTGGAGAGATGAATGCAATGAATCTATTTTAATAAAAAGTTAATAATTCATTATTTTCAAGAAAATCATTGCATTTAAAAAAAAACCGTGTAGTACACTAGACTGAGCTCTGATCATCTTAAAAAGAAGTCTGTCAAAATAAATCAGGTTGATAACTGATTAGCAGAACGTGTAGTCTGTCATTTTTAAATATGTGCCCAATTTCTTCACATAAATCTTACCTTTAAAATCTTCAAGGGGAAAATTTATTTTGGGCACATTGGCCATGAATATCAGTTGACATTTATACAGTGCACAGAATTTATACTGTGGGTTAGGATGTCGGCCATAATTCTAGGCTGATAGTTTGTAAAGGGAAGATTCCATTTTGTACTGTTTATAAAATGTTACTCTGCAGTTCCGTGCTCCAAGACTAACAAAGTCTATCCAAGTATAGTCAAGCACTGCAGTTTAACTTATTGCATTCATTAAACTAGGCTTAGATTGTCCTAATTATATGTTATCAACAATTAAGAAATGGATCACATGCCATAGACTGGCTAAAACATTCTGTATTCTTGGCTGGATGCCAATGGAGGTGTCAAGTTCCATTCTACCTTGTCATCAGCTGCATCTCTGCTTTTGCAGTACAAGCAGCAGCTGTGCTAGACAAAATAATCTAAATTCTCACATGTACTTTTCCTTTAGGAAACAGCTCACACTGAATTGCATTTCTGGTGTGAATAGTACTACACCTGAGTGAGTTTGTGCTGAAACGTATTTTATGCAAATAATTTTAACTGATATAATCTTTCATGACTTTTAAATGTGTTTGTTCTATCAAAATAATGGTCTTACTTTTCATGCTGAAATTATTACCAAATGGATTCTGTGGGCAGCAAAGTACTCTGCTCATTCGGCAATGATTTTCCTATACCTCAAATTACATAATTTTATAGGTGCTCTGTTTCAAAGGAAAACAATCTTTATTGATCCAAGTAGTCAAAATTAATCATGGATCTCTGATCTCAAAACTCCTGGCAAAATCCTTTTATTCAGAACACCCATATACTAGACGCTCAACACTTCACAAATCCTTGTGGGACAATGGGTTTTTCAGTCTGATTGTTCAATCAAGTGCAGCTTCTGAAAGTGGAGATTCAGCAAGGCTTTCCCCTGAGCAGAGGCAGGCTCAGCCAATTTTATGAGTAGCTAAATTTGACCTGACTTTTGCTTTACATTGTCATCTTTGTTCTTGGTAATGTAAAAATGGGTTTTAGAAGTTGTTCTCCTTTCCATGTGTCTGACAGAGGGAAGATCCTTCCACAGCAGCAAGTGTGTGTTGCAGCAGGATCTGAGAGTCTTGGTGCCAGGGCACCATGCTAAGTAAATAGACCACAACAGCTGGGTCTCCTTTGCTCCTGAAATAGATCTTCTACTACACAACCATGGAAAACTAGTCCGCATGAGAGGCGGTGACTTTAAAGTTCACCGCAGAGCTTACATATGTGTTGACATGCATTTTCAGGTCACCAATTTACTTGGTTATTAAAAGCTTTACTGCATCATATATGAACCAAAGTGGAGGGGTCATGCCAAGTCCTTACTCAGAAGGAGAAGATAATGGAAGAGATGCAGAATACCCAGACAAGGTCTCTACTTTATATAGAGCTTGTCCTAGGCCATTTTGTAATGGCATCTGCTGTGACCATGTCTTACTGCGTCATTTAACTTTTCAAATTTTGCTTCACATTCAGAAATTCTTGTGGTCCTGTGCAACTCACAGAAATATGACAATAAATTCCTTCACCAAAACTAACTTCCTGGAAATAATAATTTTCTTTGATTTCACAAAAGATTTTTTTTCTTTATCTTTCAGTAGATGATCTATCTAGGGATGCCAGCAAGTGCTCTCAAGAGAAAATGTATTCTGTTTCATCCAGGTAATATATCAACTGCTCTGCTCACAAGCCAGCCAATCAAATACTATAGTCCCATCATTTATATACATCCCCTTTCTCTCTCTCTTTGTCTCTGTCTCCCTCCCTCCCTTATCCCTCTGTGCTGTCTGCTGTCATCTCTCTGCACTTAGGTTAATACTACGCACTAGGCTATAAGAAATGCAATTCTAAATAATCAGTTCTTCTGGCCATTGGACAACATAATCTTGGTGCAATAATACATTAGTAGTGGGTTTGCCCATTGGGTAATAATTTATCTTGGCACACGGACCGTGTCTGCCCCTAGTAATTGCTTAGGGACTCTTTGCTGGCTAAAGACTCTAATTTGACTTGCTTTCTTTTTATATAACCTATTTATCTTGGTGCACCTTTCACTCTGCTTGTGATTTTTGATGTTTGGGGGAGTTTCCCAAGAGATGATCAGCATTTGGTTGAGGGGATGTTTAAAATTCCCTTCCCCTTCAGATTATTTTTCTTCTTTTTTTATTGTTAGAAATAACTTTTTCAACAAGGAACTTTTCAATTATCTATTGCCTATCTTATATCTTTATTTACGCTTTTGAAACAGACTGTTTTGCTCTCCTTTGTCAGCTTTTTCTCTCCTCTTACTCTCCTTTATGTTACCATTTAGGTTCAGGCTAAATTGCTGGGACAGCTGCTTTCTTTGACCTCCTCTCGACTTTGCTGACCACATCACCAACTGGCAGGGTGTGGTGCCTTAAGACCTTCCAAGATACTTGCTTCCAAATGGAAATAATGGAGTAACATTTTGTATGATCAAACATGAGAGAATTCCAGTAATTTTCAGCATTTTAAGGTACATTCAGCATATTGCTCAAATGATTATTAAAATTCTGAATCTGAAAAGCAGTCGGTCCCACATCGAAACTGCTTGTAGAATACATGATTCAGATGGTGGTCATTGGTTAATAATAGCAACAGAGGAAGCCCTGGGAGCCATCTAGTAGGGAACCCCTCTTCTTCCAGAAAGTAATACACCAAAGCTGTTCTCTGTAGAAGACTGTTTTGTCTTTTCTTAGGAAATGGAAAGGAAAGAATTTTTATTATATTCCTGTCTATTGTCTTATGGCTTTTATAGCTATTGAATTATTTGAACTAAATCCTATTCTTTGTATTAGCCCCTTCTCTCTCAAACACACATACTTACAAATATACACACATGTTCACAATATAGTGGGGAAAACAGGCTTTCTTGTCGATCTGTATCATTAGGAGGAAAATTATTTTTTCTGATCATAGGAGTACAGGTTTGTTTTTATTTCAAAATACTTAGAACTAGGACCAAAGTAGAGTTTGTTAGTGCCAAGAAGCATTTCTCTTTCTTGAATCAAGAGCCCAGTGCATCATTTTTGCCACTTTCATTCTTTTATTTCATCAGCAACCTTCTTTTCAGCTACCATGCAGCAAAAAATGTTTGCAAGTAGTGTCTGGAGCTTCCATGAGGTATGCCTGGCTGCTCAGGGGGAATGCATGGGACAGAGGGAAGCTCTTTTATACTCTGTAGCCGGCAGGACAAATCACTGAAATCCTCTTAGATATTAGAGGGGAATATCCTGAGCTATTCTGGAATCTCAAAAGGACTAACAAAGTTCATTCCATTTGTCATTGAAATGTGACAGTGATGTAGAACAAAACCTTTCCGCAGTGGGGGCTGGCTGCACCGAATTCCTTTTGCAACAAGGAAATTAGGTCAGAAGAAATTTAGGTCAACACCTTACAGAGATGTCCCCATGCCTGAAAGGAGCCAGGAGAACTTAAAACATTCCACACAGAGAGGTTATTGTTTTTATATTTAATTTGAAAAATGGTACCTTCCAAAGCTTAGTGTCATATAAATTCAGCTATGAATCAGCAAAGAAAATTACCGTTTGCATCACTAGCACTGCTTCTGATAAATCCAGGCACGATCCTAAGGTGCTTCTAACCAAGCCCAGCCGACCCAGTTTAATGGTGCAATTCAAGAAATATTTATCGACTCTTGATTATGTACAATTAAACTATTAGATAATGTAAAGGTTGTAAAGATTAATAAGTACCTCCTCCCACTAATCCCATCTTTGCCATAAGGAAGTTATAAGCTAAGGAGGAGGAGAAGATTATGGGGTAAATTAAAATGCAATATAGCCTATAAGTCATTGATTCATTTGTCATAGAGCAAATGAACTCCTACTATATGCTGAAGACTATGGAAGTGATATACAAGAGTTAAAGTAAGTGATTCTGGATGGAGAAGAGAGAGATCAGGTTAGTTTGGGGTGGACAAAAAGGAATAATTTCTTGAAAAAAGAGCAGTTTAACTGAACTTTAAATGGATATAATTTCAAAAGATGGAGGTAGGTAAGAGGTCCCTGAGTGGAAGTGTTGGGAAGAGGGACACAGTGGGTGGGGATGCCTGGACGAGGGGAGGCAAAGAGACCCCATGGCTGAGAATGTTAGGAGGAGAGAAAAGCATGTGCAATGGCAAAGGAGTAGACAAGAATATGCTGTATTTGGGGAACAAATGATGACCCATGTTGATTATATTGACCACAAAAGGCAGAAATTGAAGTGGTTAGAAAGGATAAGTCAGAATCCTATTTAGACATGCTTTGAATACCAGGCTGGAGAGTTGCATGAGTGCGGTGAGCCATCCTGTGGCTCCGTGGAAAGGATTCTGGTGACTTGGATGGCTCTTCCGACCAGTCAAGATGACTGAATACAGGTTAGCAAAGTTATTCCATAAATCCTAAACCATTGTTCTGGAATGTCTTTAGATATAAAGTGACTTGATCAACATCTCTGGTGTCAGTATTGAATGTATATTTCTTAAGTGAAACAAGTGGAATTTTACTAAATCCGCTTTTTAAAGTATCCCAACTGAAGTCTAATTTGGCATTTGGCCAGTTTAAACAAAAAAATGAATGAGAAATATAAAAAATGAGCACGGTTTTTATTTTCATTGGTTATGTGACCACCTTCTCACTACATACATCAGTTAGCAAAGTCTGCTTTCAACTGTGGAAATTTCATTATCACATCTAATTCTGGTTTGGTAGCACATTAAACTTTCAAACAGTTAATGACTCTGGTTTTCTTTCTGTTCAGCTTTACCTTTCATAAAGCACCGGCAAGAGGAAAGAAATGACAGTAAGGCTGAATTATGAACTTTAAAAAGTTGAGAACAAGTAACTACTTGTACTGTGAAAGCTGCTCTCTCTGCTCTTGATTAACTGTCTGCAGTAGGTCAGTGGTGAGCACTGTGTACTGTGGCGATGATTGTTGCAGCAGACACGCAGAGTAAATCACAGAGATGGGAGGGGGAACCAAAGGGAGGAATTTCTGTTAGCCTCCTATTTAACGCATAGAGATTACTGAAACTCTGCTTTCATAAAATGGCTCGTTTCACAGACTTATTTCCAATATCTTCCATAGATCACAATTTTAACAAAAAAACCAAACAGCATTTGTAGTGAAGAATAGATTAGTGTTTGCTTACCTTGAAGTACTTTGGAAATTGGTGAGTGAGGACTTTTTGAATAAGATTTTGATCCCAGAAATTTGTAGGTGGGGAGCAGGGAGAGGTTGTGCGTATATATGTATGTACATATAATCTACTTGTAATATATGTGTATATAGATGCACAGTTTCATATATAACACACATATTTACACACACATGCACATTCACAATTTATTTATTGATGGGAATATCAGGAAGGAAGAAAGAAAGATTAGCTGATCTCTTGTCACATTTTCTCCATTGAGGTTGGTTCTAATATCTGTCCATTTTAGATGAATTTGAGGTTCAGAGAAGTTCAACAAATTAAATAAATAAATAATTTAGTTACATAACCCCTACCTTCCTCTCTTTATTCTCCTTCTAGTGTTATATCAAAAAGTATCAAAATGGTTCTCAAAAGAAATACAAGAAAGTAAGTAAAAATGACTTAAATTTTTTACAAAATGTTACCTAGCCAAAATGAAGACCAGAGAAGAAGGAACACACTATGGGGCTGGATGTGAATTTAATGGCAAAGATGACTCTCAGTTTCTTAGCAGCCAAGCCAAAAAAACAAAAGTGAACAATACACAAACGAGTTACTCGGAATTACCCCCAAACAACAACATCACAGTTTTATATGGCTTGTTTCTTATGATGCCCTTTGTCTATGATGTTTGGTACAGCTCTCTGACGGTTTAGCTCAATTTCTCATTTTATCATTATAATCTCATACATGTTTATGCATGGTGCACACATGGACTCCTTGGCACAAAGAAACAAAATGTTGAGGAAGGAGTCCACACTTAAGGCTATATTCATCCTCACTGGAGAAATAAGCTGTCATCGTTAAGAAGTAACTGTCGAGTAAGGGGGCTGATCTGGCAGACTATAGAGAATCCTTACACCATAGTCATGCCATGATCATGTATGTGCATGTTAGTGTGCCTATGCATGTGTCTTACAACACCCTGTCATATGTCTGTGTCTTACTTTGCCATGTATTTATTATTCTCAGTGTTACTCATGAAGAAGCCTTTCTACATACCTTCAAATGACAATTATTTCACAACTCTATAGCGTTTTCATCTAGACCTTTATATGTTCTGAGAATGGAGTCTATACCATCGCGAACATTTGTAATCGTAAATCCATGCCTTTTTGTGCATTGGTTAGGTAGATGACTCATAAAGATGAGGGTTGTCAAGAAGAGTTTGAAGATTAAAGATCTGCTAGACAAAGTAGAAAACTAAGGAACCTGATGCTGGCTCCACAAGTTCTCACACTTGTTTTTAGTTTGGAAAAAAAAAAAAAAAAAAAAAGAGTAGGCTTCAAGTTCATTTTATTTGATTGTGTGCAATAGTGTTCCAAGAAAATATAAGATTACTTTCTCTCCTGTTTGCCTTGATATATATACTCTGTGGGGAATAATAATTATAGAAAAAAAGTTCTTCTTCTTCATTAAATCTAATTTAATATAAACTTGCTGTTTAGGAAAATACTAAAAATGAGTTTTACTAGCCCGATTTGTTTTTACAGAAATACTATCAACTGAATAGAAGTGAAAGAGAAATCAAAATATTCTTACATCCATTCTGAATCTAACGTTCTCCAGTATATCAGGGAATCAGGCTCCATAAAAACTGTTAAGCAAACTAGGTCACAGATAACAAGGTAGCAATTAAAATGGCTATATCAATTATTTGGTTATTTCCTAATATTTCACTCTGTAGGATCTTTTATATAGGACCCTCATTTAGTACTCTACTATGAAGAGAAAACTTTTTTAACATAACATTATTTATAGAATCATTTAAAATATGATGAATGGGAAAAGAGCATTCATTAAAAAAGGGGGGGGATTACCAGAGAGCTCTCATTTAGAAACATCTTCAACTAAAACGACTAAATTATAGTTGATGTGGTAAAGAAGAAATTTAATATGTTACCTAAAGAATATCATTTGGAATGCGTTAGTTTCTCTCCTCTCTGCTCTAGGAAATATGCTTCCTCCAATAGTGGATTTCCTGCTGCACTTTACATCAGTGCTTTTTCCATTATTATTCCTTTCTTAAACCTAGATTAACCTATTAATTTAAAAACCTGGACCTTTTACAATGTTCTAGGAAACCAAACCTGAGCGACCAGAGACTTGCACAAATGATTTTATCGAGCCTGTTCTGTTTTTTTAGCTGCTCTTATTTGATCCTTATAATTGAATTCTTATACCCTCCCAAAAGACAATACCATGTACTTTGAATTGTACCATGCATTAAAATGGGTTGTTTACAGCTTTCTAGTGTTACTAAACCTCTAAACCTCTTTATGGCTTTTTGGAGCCAGTTCTCCTGAGATTATGTTTGGCTGTCGGAGGGAAGTCAATAGGAGTAGGGGTTTCAGACTACACCAAAGAGCTGAGTAAGATTCCACTGATTCAGCATCTGTCCTTGCTGCCCTAGGGTTCACTAGCATATATTTTCTAAAAAATAAATATTAGGGAAAGTATATGTGGTCAGATCCCATGCTGCATGCTGGGAGATACAGGTTTGGTCCTTGCCCTTGGAGCGTTCACTTTTCTTTTGGGAAAGAGAACAGGTACCCAGATCACTAGGATCTGAAGGGAGTGTGAGATGGTATAGGCACAGTGTGCAGACAGTGAAGAGGAAAAGCTCCTTACCTGGCTAGGAGATGGGTGTGTTGTGGGGTGGGCAGTCAGGGACAGCTTATAATTCTACGGTTGAGATCATGCCTGAGTCTTTGTTTGTTTGTTTGTTTGTTTAGAGATAGCATCTCACTCTGCTGTCCAGCTTGGAGTGCAGTGGTGAGATCATAATTCACTGTAACCTCAAACTCTGGGGCTCATATGATCCTGTTTCCTTAGCCTCTTGGGTAGCTAGGACAGACACAAGTATGCCTGGATCTTAAAGGCTGAGTTACCAGGTTAGGGAAGGGAGGAGTTAAAAGTAGGGGGAGGAAGGGCATGCTAGTTGATGGGATGCCAGGATAACAAGTCAATCAGGGAGAACTCTTAAGTAAGTACAAGAAATACTTTCTTCTTCCACTATTAAGTTCCTTCATTTAAGAAAGAACCCAGTGAATTGTGAAACGTTAAGAAATATAGCCTTAATCTCTTTTAATTTTTTTTTTTTTTGGTCTTTTCCGTAGAAAAAAGAGAGGATGAGCTACATCATCATCAAGGTTTCTTCAGGGCTCTGATATTATATGCTTTATATTTGTACAAATTTATAAGGCATATGTGAAAATTTGTTACATGTATGTAATGCATAGTGATCAAGTTAAGGAATTTAGGGTGTATGTCTCCTGAGTACAAGACATTTTTGTTTAACTATAATCACTCTACTATCAAGCACTGAATTTATTTCTTCTATCTAATTGTACATTTTTACTCTTTAACCCATTTCTCTTTGTCTTTTCCACTATGTATTTAATTAACCTGAGATAACAGACCCTTACACTGTTTGTATTAATATATGGATATTATCTTCAGGAAAACAATAGCACTGTTTATTTCTAGACATAATTTTGTAAATCAAAACTTGAGAATAGTACACTTCTATTCCCTTTATGTACTCTGATTAAAATCAGTTTTACTGCACAAAGATTTGGTTTCAGAGGAATTTCCCAGGAAAGCCTTTTTCCACACATCGAACTATGGTCCTACTGTCACATTCAGAGTTTGGGATCCTTTTAAAAACAGGAATAGAAGATTCAAACTTATGTTACTACCAGTAAACGATAAATTTCCTTTGAAATGACTTTACACATTTAGGCTATCATTACTATGCTACTTTTAAACTATGATAGTAATTGAAGCATTTTCATCATATGACTTTGCCCCGAAGTGTACCAAGTAGGAATTTGATTAACAGCAACCAGCCAACGAAAGCCTGAAGTTCCAGCGCTAGTGTGTTATTCCTTGTCTTCGATGTGCCTCTGTATCCTTCGACATTTCTGCTCCACAGTTGTGACAAAGGAAGTTCTGTACAAAATGTGACCATTTTAGGCAGAAAGAAAAGGGAGGGAGAAAGGGCAAATACATGTGCCAGCGGAATGAGTCTCACTCAACAGCTTCTGCTTACATTTATTGGTAGAACTTAGTCCTAGGGCTCTCTACCTGTAAGGGAAGCTGGGAAATATAGCCTTTAGCTAATTATACTGCAACCCTTAGCTACATCGAGTTCTGTTCATAAAGAAGAAAGAGTAAATGCAGCATTTACTCTTGCACTCCAGCCTGTGCAAAAGAGTGAAACCTTGTCACACACACACACACCAACCAAAGAGTAAAAGTAAAAAACCAAACAAACCAACAAAAAACAGACAAAAAATAGAAACGTGACTCAGTTTTAAATAAAAACAATTAAAAGTCTAAGTGGACAAAAGAGTGTAGTGTCTAAAAAAAAGTTAGGCTTGTTTCCTAACTGTGCTACATTGTAACAGTATCTTCCATATTTGCAGGCTGAATTCATTTGAGCTGCCATGAGGTAGAGAAATAAAACCTGGACCAGTAGTCAGGAGAAAGAGGTTCCACTCTGAAATCTGCTGCATTGTTACTTGAAGTGAATTTACCTTTCTGAATTCCAGACTGAATTAATGATTTTCAAATTTTTCTTAAAGCTGTGAAACACTTCGTTCGAACAGAGGCCACCTGTAAAATACCCAGCACTACTTGGGTTGAAGTTGGATGTGGTGATAGTAGATCAGAAATCCTACTTGGCTGACTGGGCACAGTGACTCATGCCTGTAATCCTAGCACTTTGGGAGGCTGAGGTGGGTGGATCACTTGACATCAGGAGTTCGAGACCAGCCTGGCCAACAGGTGAAACACCATCTCTACAAAAATAGAAAAATTAGCCAGGTGTGGTGGCTCACACCTGTAATCCCAGCTACTGAGGAGGCTGAGGCAAGAGAGTCGCTTGAACCGGGGAGGCAGAGGTTACAGTGAGCTAAGATTGCACCATTGCACTCCAGCCTGGACGACAGAGTGAGACTGTTTCAAACAATAACAACAGCAACAACGAAGAAATCCTACATGGTTTCTGAGCCTTTTCCTGACTTTAACATTCCACATGTCATCATTAAGGCGAGACCAAACCCTAGCTGCCCTAAGAAACCATGTGGTACCACTTGGAGTACTTCTAGGCATTATTAAATGTACTTTTCAAAACACTGTCTTTTATTTTGTTCAACAAATGAATTACATTTCCCTTTTGTTTCTGTTACTTATTTTTAATAGTCTCCATTTTGTAAAACTTCCTACTACATTCTTTTCAAACTCTGGAAATAGTGTGTGGCTCCTGGGAAATTCTCAGAGGTTTAAATTTTTGCATTTTCCCCAAAATTTGTTTGGCTCCCTACATGGAATTTTTTTGTTTTTAAACCCTCTGCCCAATACTTAAATCACATTTACAACATCATGCATAGCTCATGGGGGAGAATAGTAATGTTTTTGCTTCAAAGGTCATCATAACAGGAGGTCAGTGAAAAATCAAACATGACTTTAAAAACATAAGAGCAGAAAGACACCCACAAAACTGGGCATGTGGATTGAGTGCTAGATGGGTGGTCAACCCAACCCAGACACTCCAGCAGTAGTCCAACCACATAACAGACCGGAAAGCTCCAAAGTTGCTAACTAAGAAGCTGGTTTTATTTTATTTATTTTTTTTCAAGAATTCTATTTCTAGTCACTGCTATCAAGAGGTAGAAAATGTGCTGATTTCTTGTGTTACTTCATATTGGTCTTTTATGTAAGGTGTTTTTATGAAGATATAAAATGCATTTACACTTTGGAGTTTGAGGAACCTAGAATAATACTCAATAACTCAGCATTTTCTTCGTGTACCAATTGAAATAATCAAAAATAACCTTTAATTTTTGCATACTACATGTTTATACGTTAAAATAAAAATTTTAATGAGCTAGTAGTTCCCATAGTTTCATTAGTTTAATTTTTACTATTCTGAATAGAATCTTAGACTTATAAAATCTTATCACTTTAACGTTGCCTGTTAATTCAAGATGCAGTGAAGTATTTTCTTTGTGTTGGAAATCAAAGTTTTGGAGTTAATCATATTTTAAACAATGAAATTTATAAAGTGTATGAATTGCTGAACTTTTTCTATCCGCTCACATCAGAACATGTGGCAGGATGACAGTCTGGTTTTTGATCATTAAATTTAAAAACCCAAATATTTGTTTAGTTATTGTAGCCTATTATTTGGAATATTTGATACTCACGTCCATATATTTATTTTGGTCGTTCACCTTTAAGATAGAGTTAGAGACAGTTCTTCTTTCACATGCAAAAAGAGTATGGGATAAAAAATGTCCTTTACTGTATGAGTTCATGTCTGTGTAGGGACATAGATGAAGCTAGAAACCATCATTCTGAGCAAACTATCGCAAGGAAAGAAAACCAAACACTGCACGTTCTCCCTCATAGGTGGGAAATGAACAATGAGAACAGTTGGACACAGGGTGGGGAACATCACACACTGGGGCCTGTCATGGGGTGGGGGGAGTGGGGAGGGATAACATTAGGAGAAATACCTAATGTAAATGACCAGTTGATGGGTGCAGCACACCAACATGGCACATGTATACATATGTAACATACCTGCATGTTGTGCACATGTACCCTAGAACTTAAAATATAAAATATAGTAAGAAAAAAAAAGTCCTTTACTTTGTTTTTGCTAATTGAGTTATAATTGAATATCTCTAGCTTAGATCTTTTCCCTTATTTCCAGACACAGACATATATAGTAACTCCTTGGCATAAGAAATGGAATTATTATTAGAGAAACCTGAATAATCCAAATATTCACTTATCAAAATAATTTTACTGTAAGAAATTATGGCAAAGGACTTTGTAACATAGTTTTCAAAGCTGTGTGGCTTCCTGTTAATTTTCTATATGTTAACAGACTGAACCAAAACACCAAGGACCACAGTCCGCCACTCCTGGGTACCCCTAGAAGAGAAGATTGACCCCCACTCCTCCTGTTCTTATCTTCTTGGTATGCCCTGTGGAGTGCTGGCCAATAAACATAGCCGGGGGAAGGATTTCTCTGGCTTTTTTTCTTTCTCCCACCAGATTTCCCAGTAAGCAAGACAACTAGAACACAGTTGGTTTTTTGTTTGTTTGTTTGTTTTTGTTTTGTTTTGCTGTGATTCAAGGCTAAATCAAAGTGGTTAAAATTCAAAAAGCAAATTTTGCAATGTGGAAAATTCAAGGATAGCCAACTATTTCAAAACTACAAAACTACAAGTCTGGAGTTAGCAGTAGCTTACAGTGCTACTGGCTAGTTTACTATGTCTGCAGACCGTGCAGTGAGAGTGTGCCGCCCAGACTGAAATGTATGCTGTTTCGAGGGCTGCAAGGGTAAACTGTATACCATATAAACCAAGAAGTGTGCTCTAGTCAACTTTCTAGCAACTATCCCAGGTTACCCCAAACTGACCTCATCATATTCTCTCCTCAACAGATTCATTTTTTAGTGTTCCCTATCTCACCTGGATTACTGTAGTAACCCTGTGGCTCCCCTGAGTCATTTACACTTTGGCCAGAATGGTTTTTCTCAAACACCAATCTGATGAAGCCAGTCGCTAAAATGTCTAAAGTGGCTCTTGATTAATTTCAGGGTAAAAATCTAGACATGGCGTAAGAGGCTGTTGACCATCAGGGCCTGTCTTTTAGTCCAGCTTCTTTTCTCTCTATACCCCTGTGTACACCCAGCCTTCAGCTGCATCTAAAGCCTGGAATTTTCTAAAAGAACCTTCAGGCCCATGCTTTCATGCTGTAGCATCTGTGGTTCCTGCTGCTTGGAATTCCCTTCTCCATTATTTGGCCTGTTACTCATCTTCGAAAGCTTATTTAAGCATGACCTTTTCTGGGAAGTTTCCTTGGGAAACTTCCCTGGAGCCCTCTCATCCTCCAGCATCTTTTAACATAGCATTTACCTTGGGGATTTGTAATTGTGAATTCACCAGGGATATCTCTGAAAGCAATGGGTGCTCTTTGTATCTAAGTATTTACAATGTGTAGTTCAGTGCTTGACCCACAGTAGAAGCTCACTAAACAAATATTTGCTGAATGAGTGAATGGATGGTTAGAAACCATACGGCTTGGCTTGGAATGGGCTGTTCAGTAGTTCATCTCTTGGGGCATGTAGAATCAAGATCACAAAGTATATCCAGATGGACTAGATTTCTTGTTGTGTATGCAAGCCTTAAAAACTGAGGAGCCTAGCGTACATAAACCAACTAAAATTGATCTCTGGGATAGATAAGCAGATCCTAAGATTGTCCAGCTACTAGTGGTAGTAACAGTGGTCAGGTGAAGAACTATTAATTACTAAGATGTTTGTAAAAATGAAGATATGATTGTGGTGCTAAGGAGAAATTAAATATTTCCCATTCAATTATATTTAGGAATAATAAAAATTCGGAAAATAGTCTAAGTCTTTGCTTTTAAAAAAATGATCAAGTTTGAGGCTGGGTGCAGCGGCTCAGGCCTGTTATCCCAGCACTTTGAAAGGCCGAGGCAGGTGGATTGCTTGAACTCAGGAGTTCGAGACCAGCCTGGGCAACATGGTGAAACCCCTCTCTACTAAAAATACAAAAATTAGCTGGGTGTGCTGGCATGCACCTGTAGTCCCAGCTACTGTGGAAGCTGAGGCAGGAGGATCACTTGAACCTGGGAGGCGAAGGTTGCAATGAGCAGAGATTGCACCACTGCACTCCAGCCTGGGTGACAAAGCAAAACCTTGTCTCAGGGAAAAAAAAAGAATCAAGTAAGAAAGTAATTTCATTTCAGCGGGAAAAGTATTTGGTTAATATTCTCCCTGAATGTTTATATATTTATATAAATTGTGTGAATTTCCAGTAAGAGAAAATCAATCCTTGTTATTGTTTAATCTAATATTTTTATTACACGTTCTCTAACCATGAGTATGCCTTTAGGGGAAGATAGAGAAGCATGGAAGCCACGTGAAAAAACAAACGGATCCTAAGGTATGAACAAAGTGCAGATGATTATCAGCCATGCTGCAGGGATTTCTTGTTTGTCTTCTCAGTGGTGTTAGCTAATTTTATCTTTCAATCCCCGATTCCTTATAGGACCTGGACACTTTGAACCTCTCAGGACCCCTCAGATTCTAGCACATAAACTCGGAGCCAAATTCACAGCCTGTTTTTGAGTTAATCAGAAGGGCCTTTTAACAACTTTCCATTTGAGTCCTAAGAAAAACCTAGGTCATTAGGCAATAAAGCCACAGTGCTGGCCCCTAATCAAGGTCAGTACATGTCATTGTACGACTGATCCAAATTTGAGTTGGTTCAGTTATTTAATTTGTTCATTGTCCACAATGTTCCAGTCACAGTACCAGGTGCTCAGAGTGTAGTGTTAGAGACAAGATTCAAAGTAAGTAATTTTAAGACCAGTGTCATATGTGCCATTATAGAAGTATGGCTGAAAATGGAATTTATATACATAAGCATGTGAGTTGTTCACTAAACAGGGGTGGGCAAGAAAGACCTTACAGAAGAAGTGAATATCTTAGCAAATATCTTAGCAGGATTTCAAAGAATGAACTAGAGTTTTGCAGGCAGATGAGATAGGAAAGGGTGCCAGGGAGAAAGAAAAGCATGGACAAGGGCTCAGGAGGTGGGGAACAATATGATATAGTTTGAGGTACTGGAGTATAAAGTTAACAAGAGGAGAATATTTAGAAGGGAGGATGGAGAGGAAGGCAGAGAGCAGATTATCGGGTTAAAGTATTAGAAATTAGCATTGAGGTTTC